CGATGTTTCATTCAACAAATTGGTGGGAGGCATCCCTCGCGAGCTTGGGAGCATGCAGGACGCCTCTTACATCAGCCTTGCGCACAACTTCCTCTCGGGAACAATCCCAGTGGAGCTCGGGGATCTCAAGAACATCATAGGGATGGATTTGTCATTCAATGGTCTCCAAGGAAGCATTCCAGGCTCGTTTTCCTCGCTCCAGTCCCTGACAGGGTTGAATGTGTCTCACAACAACTTGTCCGGTCCGATTCCACAGGGTGGCCAGCTTGCGACACTTGATGCCAGTAGCTACGCAGGAAACGCCGGTCTTTGTGGCTTCCCTCTAGCGTCGTGCATCACATCGCCACCAACAGCGACAAATCGTGCTGACCATGGCTATGGTGGATTTGGAGCGGTTCTTGCGGTGAGCTTTGCAATTGGGGTGGTGGTCTCAGTTATCTGCTGCACAATGGTAGTCACCATTGATAGTAAGAAACGCTTTGTGGAGAGAGCTTGCTATGGATGATCGACACACCGAAAAGAAAAAAATGCCCAGCCACGCTTAGTCAAACAATTTTAAGCGTTTTTCCATGTGTATGTTACTTTATAAGAAAATCTTATTCAACTTAAATTTAAGATTTGTAGGCCCGAGCCTAGGGCGGGCCTTCCAGAAATTCTCGACGGCCTCCCGAAGGAGACACGAAGAGGGGGTTTGGAAATAGTTTTCAACCAGCAATTGACGCGTCTCGGTAAAACCTCATAAACTGTGTCATTGCCCCAAGCGCAAAGATAAAACAAACCTCCATCTTAGCTCGACTTATATACCCGAGGAGTGGCACGATTTCAGTCCTTGGCTCGTGGGATAGGGCTGGCTGGCGCAGCATATTCCTAGAACTGATTGTCCCTAAAAGTAAAAAATATGCATTTATTCACTCGCTCATGCTTCATGGGCTAGAGTTTTCTCGGGGAGGATCTCCTGGAAAAATTTCTCGAGCTGCTCGTGGTAGAGCGCCGGAAAGCTCCGCAAATGATCTACGTGAGGAGAGATCCGCATGTCGAAGCACGAGACCTTGTAGCCGCTCTTTTTCTGCAAATCCATGAACTCTTCGACGTAGCTCGCTGGGATGACTCGGTCGGCGCTGCTGTAGATGTAGAGCTGCGGGCATCGCGGCTGCTTGCTCGACAAAATGGAGATGATTCTTGCAAGTCTCCTGGTTTCCACAGCAGAAAAGGAGAGCCGAGATGTTAGAAACTAGCGCCGCAGGAAAAGATCTAGCGAGGAAAGAGCACCTCTTACAGTTTGACAGCGGGAACCGCGAGTAGAACCGCGAAGAACTTCTCCAGGACTGCCAGGAGCAGAGTCTCGGACGCGCTCGGCTGCGCAAGGATTGCTCGCTCGGCGTCGGTCAGTCCCGCCAGCGACTGCGTCGAGAAGCTTTGCTTCTTGAGAAATGCTGTTGCGAACCCCGAGGCCCAGACCTTGCCAAAACGTATCAGCTCGATGTAAGAACACGACCAGGATCACGTAAAACTTCGTCGGCTTACCTGGGGACTGAGCTCGGCAGCAGGCCCCGAATCTACAACGCATCCTTTTATTCTGCTCGTGAGGTGCTGCTGCCCTTGCTGCTGGAGTTTCTCGAGTAGAGCTCCATAGCTGTGAAGAAGGAATCAAATCAACACCATTGCTTTGACAACTAGGAAAAAAATAAGAAGACCACTTTACTAAGCTCTAGAAAAACCATTAAAAAAAAATAAAAAAATAAAAACCTGACTGCTAGAGAAAACTTACTCTGTTGGGAACTTACAAGAACCAGCCGGTGTTGCTAAAGGTGTGGAACAGCACCGATTTTTCCTTTCTTCCACCGCTCGCTAGCCACTGCTTGATTTCCGCGTAGAGCAAATCGACATGCCTGTCGGCCTTCCCAATGACGCCGAGGCTCAGCAAATCCGGCATTGGCATCACGAAAGTCATAGCACTGATCCCTCTCGAGTTATACCACTCGGCATATTTCTTCAAGTGCTTGTGTTGAGCACCCAGCCATCCCAGGAGCACTACCACCAGATCTCCCTCTCCATCTCCAAGCCAAGAATCTCCATCGCGGGCATTTTTCCTGTCCGAGACCCCGTGCATGACGATGCTTTGCTTCGCGGGATCCGGAGACACGCGATCTGTGACGAACGGGAGCTGGAATTTGATCCTCGCCGGCCAGAAGACATGGAAATGCGCCCGCTGCGAGCTGGAGCACGAGATTATCGGCCGCGTTTGGCGACGCGGAGGAGCTACACGAGCCACACTGGCGACACTGGATCTCGTGGAGCGCGCATTCTTGCCTGTGATGCGGCCCGCAGCAGGACGCGCCAGGGAGTGAAGATTCATGGCGGAGACCGGCCGATCGTGTGGCAGAAGCCCTAAACCCTGTTTTAGGGTTCTTCGTTTAACATCCTTTTAGGGTTCTTCGCTAACATCAAGAGACATAAAAGAATCCTTTGCACATTATTGTGTGAGGCAACCAAACCCATCACCGAGGAAGAAGAAAGAAGAATCGCCACAGCCCAGCCAGCATTGTCCTGTGACGCCCCAAATCTCTACAAACCCCTGCCCCCCTTCTTCTTCGTTCTTCCTCGTTTCCTCCTCTATAGACCCGCCCAATTCTGCGAATCAAGAGAAATCGTAAACCTCTGGAATCGCCACCGGGAACTGGTCGATGCAATCCGCCCAGGGCCCCTTCTCGCTCGCCTTGATCGTCCGCAGCGCCCGCCACACGGCGCTGTTACACTTGAACCCGCTCCCAAACGCGATCTGCCACACGCGGTTCCCCTTCCTCATCCTCCCCTTGGCCTCGATGTACGCGAGCTCGTACCAGATCGAGGAGCTGGACGTGTTCCCGAATCGGTACAGCGTCATCCGCGACGCCTCGACGTGCTCCGCGGTGAGCTGCAAGTTCTTCTCCAGCTCGTCGATCACCGCGCGGCCGCCCGCGTGGATGCAAAAGTGGTGGAACGCCAGCCGGAAGTCCGGGATGTATGGCTTCACCGCGCGCTTGAACACCTTGCGCGCCACCAGGAAGCTGAAGAAGATGATCTGCTCGGACAGTGGCAGCACCAGCGGCCCCATGGTCGTGATGTTGGTCTTGAGCGCCTGCCCGGCGATGGCCATGAGATCTTTGGAGAGCGACACGCCCATCTTGGCGTTCTCGTCCTCCTCCTGGTAGACGCAGCGGAAGGACTTGTCGTCGGCGCCCTTGTGCGTCCGCACGGTGTGGAGGAGCTCGTACTTGGCGCGGCGGCGGTCGGATCGTCGGTTGCTGAGCAGCATCGCGGCGCCGCCGACGCGGAAGAGGCAATTCGGGATGAGCATCGAGCGGCGGTTGCCGAAGTACCAGTTCTGGGTGATGTTCTCGGTGCTCACCACGATGGCGTAGTCGTTGCCGTGGACCTGGAGCATGTCCTTGGCGAGGTCGATGGCGATCACTCCCGCGCTGCAGCCCATCCCTCCCAGGTTGTAGGAGCGGATGTTGCCGCGCATCTTGTACTTGTTGACGATCATCGCCGAGAGCGATGGCGTGGGGTTGAAGAGGCTGCAGTTGACGACCAGGATCCCGACGTCCTTGGGCTTGACGCCCGTCTTGTGGAAGAGCTCGTCCAGCGCGCTAAACATGACGGTCTCGGCCTCCTGCCGCGCCGCATCCATGGATGGTCGCGGCGGGAGGTAGTGCATCGCGGGCGGGAGCGCGGTCTGCTCGCCCAGCCCGGAGCGCTCCAGGATCCGGCGCTGGAACTCGAGGCTCTTGTCGTCGAAGCTCCCCGACAGCTTGGAGTGCTCCATGAAGGAGGCGAAGGGGACGCGGATGTTGGGCGATGGCTTGTGGCACGCGTAGTCGACGAGGAAGACGCTGCGCGGGCGGGACATGAAGTAGACGGTGGCGGCGAAGACGAGCAGCGCGGAGCACGTCATGACGCTGACGAGGTTGAATTTGAGGTGGATCCAGAGCTGGTGGATGTCCTCGGGGCCCAGGCGGCCGACCTCGATCGCTACCCCGAGCATCAGCGGGACGAGCGTGAGCGTGATGAGATGCGTCACCAGGTAGTGGTAGCCGAGCTTGACGTACTTGAGGTTGACGCTCTGGAGGAAATCCGGGAGCGGCAGCCGCCGTGATCCTCTGGACCCGCTGCTCCTCCGCAGCAGCCTCCCGCCTCCATCGCCAATTCCGATTCCTGAGGAGGCGCTAGCAGTGGCAGCGGCGCTGGGTCTCTCGTCGGCCATCGTTGGGATTGTTTCGCGAGCTCCTGTGATACTCTGTTCGACAAAAGCCACGAACTTCTTGTTCTTGGATGAGATTTTTTAGGGTTCTTGGGAGTGAGGGAGGAGAGAGGCGTGGGTGGCGATGGCGATGGCGATGGCGATGGCGCGACGCATTTAAGGCAAAGCGAGGCCGGATCAGTAGTGCAGTTAAAGGGGCATTCAATGGCAACACCAACCTCCACTTTCGGTGAAGAGAGACAGGGCAAAACACACGAAAGAGTTTGGTGCTTTTGTTTTTCTTTCTTGGGCGATCGCTCGCTCGCTCTCTCGCTCGCTGGAGAGGAGGATTGGGGAGGAATCTCGTTTTCTAGCTGGGATTAGGATGGTGTGTTTGGGATGCTCTCGAGTTCCTAGTGAAATGAAAAAGGTGGTACATTGGTGGTAATAAGTCGCTCCTTCATTGACTTGGCCGCTCCTCATTTATATCGGGTCTCTTGCGTACAGTGGATGGAGAGAAGAAGAGAGCAGCGCAGCAGCCATGCCAGCCAGCAGCAACAGGGGAGCAGCCGATTGGTGTGAATTTGATTCAAGTCGGTTGAATTTACAACCCTCTGGCAGGATTCAATCGTGTTCTTCAATGTCCCTCATGGAGCAAATGCCACCGGTCAAGCATTTGCCTCGCCGCTAGATTCCTCGTGAACATAGTCAAACCGAGAACCTTCATGGTCAGTCCCAAGTCAGTCAACCCATCAGTCAACGCGGTCGCTGATTGCTTCGATGAGTCAACGACGTCAGTAACATGAAAGTACACATGCTGACTGTAGTGTACATCTGGACTCTGGACGCTACGTCGGCGGCAAAATGGCTGACGCGTATCACTTCCAAGTCACAAGTCAACCATCAGTCAACGCACAATGACCCCCATTGGATACGAAACAATATCCAGTCAACATGCTGACTGTAGTGTACATCTGGACGCCACGTAATCGGGCACGCGTCACTTCCTCAGGTTCCAGTGGAGCCGCTCGCGCACGCTACACAGGAAGTGGTGCGTTGCCTCTTCCAGGGACGCTGTTGGGACGGGCCAGGGGGCCATTTGGCATATAAGCTGGTCGCCCGGGGAGAGCTCCACTCGGTCCTTGCCATCAAACGAAGCCCAGGCGTTTTGGAGCGGGACCTGGACTTTGAGCGTCACGTAGCCGGGAAGGATGAGAGGCCTGAAGGACAGCGAATGCGGGCATATCGGCGTGAAGAGAATTGCTGGAACCTGAAAGACATGGAGCTGTAAGTCGTTTGGATCCAGAAAAACAAAGAAAAAAGAGGTTTTTGCAAAGCTTACGTGAGGATGGACCATCGAGCCTCCGGCCGCGAGAGAGTACGCCGTGCTGCCCGACGTTGTGGAGAGGATGAGGCCGTCCCCTTGCACCGAGGTGAGGAAGACGTTGTCGCAGTAGCACTCGAGGTTCGTGAGGCACGACGACATGCCCCGGTCGATGGAGACTTCGTTGAGAACCAGGTGCATCTCCGACGCCGAGCTCTCCCCGTTCCTTACAATCTGGCACTGCATGCGGTGCCGCAGCGTGATGCAAACCGGGCCCTTCATCACGTACTCGAGGCATTCCTTGTAGCGCTCGCTTTCTGTGAGTTTAGTTAAGTCGAGCAAAAAGAAGATAAAACTTGGAAGGATACGGAATGCCGTCATGAATCCCAAGGAGCCCATTGAAAACGAAACCATGGGAGGGACGGGTCCTTTGAACAGCGACGCAGCCTGCAAAAGAAGCATAAGTCCGCCAATAAAAAAGCGCTGGTTGTGCTTACCCACAGTACAGTGCCATCTCCACCCAGAGTGATAACAAGGTCGACTTTGGTGTGTAAGAACAATAACTCTTCTTCTGCAAAAAGCAGACGGCACAGTGAAGAAAATGCTTCGCTGCAAAGCTTTCAGCCTACCAGAATCCCATGTTTGTACATAAGTGCAGTCCGAGCTTTCGTCAAGCTCATCCTTCACGCGCTGCTCAACGAACACAGTGATATTTTTCACCTCCTTCAGCCACCTGAAGGCTAGTTTTACATCACGAACAAAAATAAATAAATTTATTTTCCAGGTACCTGATCATTTTCTTGCACAGCTCTTGCACAGCAGAAGAATTTGGTCGGGTAAAAATACAGACCGCTCGCGGTGTGGATTCCCAAACAAGTATAATCTGCAATGTAGAGAAACCAAGGCATCAGATTCCACAGACGATAGTCTCAATTGCAATCAACCTGTTTGTTGCTACTGGTAACGGCACTAATGTTCCCAGAATCGTAGGACACAATGTCATGCTTGTGCCTTCTATGCCTGTCACCATTATAACTCCATAGCAATTTGAAGGAAGCCTGGAGTCGAAACAATGTAAAACTTTTTCTTTTCCGAAAAACTGCGTACCTTGTGGCTTGGATGTTGAACAAGAAATTTACAAGACCCGTTTTCTTCCTCTAAAACATCATGTTGCGGTGTTTCAAGCTCACAGCCTTTGACTTCCCGGTTCTCGACACCTGAGAACTTCCATTAGCAACGAGCCAAGAAATTTAATTTAAAGTGTACAAGTACCTGGAAGATCTTTTTCCTGTAGAAGACTCTCATATTTTCTTTTCCACTCGGCCGCCTCCAATTGAAGCTGAACGTTACGCTCGGCAACTCTTTTCATCGCATTCGACACAGCTGTTCAAACAGAAAACGAGAGAAAAGATGTCAGCAGTTCTCACGAAATTCAAGGAGATCTCACGCACTCTGCAAACTGTTGCTAAAGTCGAAAATTTGACGACTAGCGTCCATGGCGGATTTCTCCGGGCGCGCAAACGTTTGCCATCCCTCGATGCCAAATCTGAGATTTTCCTGCTCCATCCGCGACAGGCTCGCCGACGAATCCTCCCTCCCCAGCGAGCACTGCCAAAAATCGAGAATGCAAGTTAGAACAATGCCGAGCACTGGAAAAGGAAAAGGGAAATCACGAGCGCAAACCTGAGTGATCAGCTGGCAGCATGGCGCCAGAGGCCCGGCATCGGGGGCGCCGGACGCGCCTTGCGCCATGAAAAACCTAATCGCCACAACGCGAACACGCAGCACGAGCCCGCTTTCACCATCCACACAACACACACACTCAAAGCGTCTCCCGCGAATATCCTCTTTTTACACGTCTCGGTTCGAATCCACCTGTCAGCAGCCCATGGTTCAAATCTCCTTACAAGCAAAATTCCTCTAGGTCGTTGAGAATATTCTCCGTCTCCCTCCTCCAGAGCCCAGCGCCCGCGCAGGCGCCCTTGACGAGCACCGGCGTCGCCAGATGCCCGAGCTCCAGCGCACGCGCCGCGCAGGACGCCGCGCGGCGCACATCGCCGTGGATCTTGCAGGAATTGAGGAATGTGATCCAGGTGAGGGCGTCGGGCTCCCAGGGCATGAGATCCATCACCTCCTCGGCGCGGGGGAGCTGCCCGACTCGCCCGAACAGATCCACCAGGCACCGGTAGTGCTGTGCCTCCGGATCAATGCCGCGATCGCGCCACATTGACGCGAAGAACTCGCAGCCCTCGTCCACGAGCCCGCCCTGGCTGCACGCCGTGAGGAGATTGACGAATGTGACGCCATTAGGGCTCACGCCGTGGAGATCCATCGCCCGCGACAGTGCCGCCGCCTCGCCGCGGTGCCCGCTCTGGGCATTTGCCGCCACCATCGCCGTCCATGACACCACATTGCGCTCCGGGAGAGAATCGAACACCCGACGTGCGTCCCCGACGCTCCCGTACCTTCCGTACGCGGAGATGAGGGCGTTACCGACCGTACAGTCGCCCGCGAGGTCGCAGTCACGGGCGCAAGCGTGGCACAGCCGCGCCTCTGCCACGTTGCGACACGCGTCCAGTACGGCGCAGAAGGTGACGCGGTTTGGCCGAAGTCCCTGGGCGTCCATTGTACGGAAGAGGAGCATCGCCCGCGACAGCTTCCCATTCAGGGCATATGCGCCGATCATGGAGTTAACCGTAACAAGGTCGCGCGACGGCATATTCCTGTACGTTTGCTCAGCGTCTTCCACGCTCCCGGTGCGTCCGTACGCGTCGATCATGGCGTTCCAGGAGAAGAGATTCGAGACGGGCATCTTTCGCAGGAGCTCCTTTCCCTCGAGAATATGCCCGTTCTGGGCATATGCTACTAGCATCGCGGTCCACGATACCACATCCCTTTCCGCCAGGGAATCGAATACCATCTTGGCCCGCGGAATTTCACTGCATCTGGTGTACATTACGAGGATTCCGGTGGCGATCCGGACGTCCGATTGGAACCCACATTCCGCGACCTTGGAATGCATCTCCCGTGCCAGGCCGGGGCAATCGATGCACGACAGAATGCCCACGAATGTCACGCTGGACGGCTTGTGGCCGTCCGATTCCATGAGCCTTAGAACGCCCACGGCGTCGCGGGACCGCCCAGCCCTGGCGTAGAACGCGATCATCGCGTTCCAGGCGACGTGATCGCGCTCCTCGCGCATCTCATCGAAGATCCGCCGCGCCTCATCGAGGTGTCCGCTCTGGGCGAGGGCGACGAGCATGAGATTGGAGGAAAAGAGATTGGGCACCGGGATCGCGCGGAACGCCCGCCGCGCATCGTCCACGCTGCCGCACTTGCCATACATCTGGACGAGGAGATTGGCGAGGAATGTGCTCCTGTCCAGCCCGATTCGAGCCAGGTGATCGTGGAGCCACTTCCCCTCGTCCAGCGCGCCCAGCTCCCCGCATCGCCGCAGGAGCGTGGCGTACGCCTCCGGATCGAGCGCAGAGCCAGCGAGATTCTCCCTGCTGAACGCGCCCCTCAAGACGATCGAGCTCTCGGCGGCGAGGATCCCCCTTCTCGCCGCGCTCATCCACCAAGACCCAGATTTCGAATCCAAAGAGCCCGCGAGAATCCAACGGCCGAGAGCGCAGTAAGCCCTAGCATTTAAATCCGGCCGATCGTGGACGTTGAAGCGCCAACGGCTAGGATGCGCTGGGCATGGCGGTGTTTCCCAGGCTCATGTGAAGGGCGCGCCCTGGCGGCAGCGCAGGCTGGGCATTTGCATCGATCGCTGGGCGGCAGAGTGTAGCATAGCTAGGGCGAGAGGTTTTTAGGTCTGGGCGATCCAGGGGGCGTCGGCGAGGACAGCAATGCAGGCGCCGCAAATGGGCCCTTACACGGGCACTATGATCACGACTGAGCTCATCCAGAAGGTATGTGTGTACTTTGGGGGCTAATCTTCGCGATTTTGCGCGAAATTTTGGTTCCAGTGAGTCTAAGCGCTGCTCCAAGATTTTCTTTTGTTCTTACATTTCTTTAAGGTTATTGATTAAGGCTTACTTTGTTTTCATTGTTTAGTACCTGGACGAGAACAAGCAACTTATCCTGGCGATTCTAGACAACCAGAACCTGGGAAAGCTTCATGAATGCGCAGCGTAAGCGTCGTCTCCTTTTTTTCTTCCAAAGCTTGATTGTTTTTTCTATGGATTGGAAATTCAGCTACCAGTCCAAGCTGCAACAAAATCTTATGTACTTGGCTGCCATCGCCGACGCGCAACCTCAAAACCCTCTTCCGGGTGCTCAGGTGTGTTTTTCACTTGCATTCTTTTTCTTTTCTCAAGAGAAAAACGTCTCGCATTCTTTTCTTGTGTTTGTCTGAAAAGTCTTCTTTTGTTTCCGTAGAGCTTTTTCTTACTTGCATTGTTTTTCCTTCTATGCATTCCTTGTTATGTCATCAAAGCAGACTCCAGAAAAGGTTTTGCATTTAACTTTGGCATTGTTTTCTTGTGGTTGCCTGAAAAGTCTTCTTTTGTGCCCGTAGAACTTGCTGATATGATTTCTTCTCTTCACTCCCTCTCTCCAGGTTGCGCAAGCCTCCATGCTCCAAGCAACTCCTCAGTTCATGCAGCAGTCCCCGCAGCAAATGGGCATGATGGATCAGCAGCAGCAGCAGCAGCAGCAGCAGCAGCAGCAAAACTACACACAAATCCAAATGGCTGCGCTCCATGCTCTCCAAGCCCAGCAGCGCCAGCAGCAGTTCCAGCAGCAGCAGAGGCTCGTCACCGCGGCGGCATCGGCAGGGATGCTCTTGCAGCCTCCACACTCGGAGCTAGAGCTGGGTGGCGCTGGAAACGTGAGCAACGGAAACAACATGACGGGCATGGGAGGAGCTTTTCCAGACTACGCTGGCAACGCTGCCAATGGAGATCTCATGAGGAACTCTGCCGCAGCCGCCGTGAGCGGCGACGCCTCCAAAGGGACCAGCGCCGTCGCCGGATCGTCTGGAGCTACTGCTGCCGATGGTACGGGAGACGACGCTGGCTCTACGTTTCTCAAGTCATCAGAGGAAGAGTAAAAAACACCAGGGAGGATTGCAGTAGAATCAGCTACATTCCTTTCTTTAACTATGTTTCTTTTCTTTGCTGTTAGTAGGATCATTTGTCACACTTCGGTCTCACACTTGTGCTAGATCTTTTCTCCCGGCGTTACACCCGTTATAATACTTCCCACTCATTGCCGATCTACATATAAGTAAAGAGAAATGAGGCCTGCCAAGCTCAAGTCTCGTTTTTCAAAGTTTTTTCCATGGATTCCAAGCTGATGATCGTTCTACTTCTTGTAGCAGCCACAGCGGCAAACAGTCTCCAACTTCAAAGAAAGGTGGTCGAGAAAAACTCTTGCTTCCTCAAACTCTCTTGCTTGTCTCCGCAGATATCTTTCTTCGTTCGTCGCAACTGGGAGAACAATCCACCGCCATCTTCATCCCCTCTATCTTCCGGCATGGGGATCGTCCGTGTCATCGATAGCCCGATCCATGGCACTCGAAGCAACTCGTCCGAGTGTATAGGCCGGCTCCAAGGATACTCCATCACGGACGCTGCTGGATCGTCGACTCTCTTCTATCTTACGAGCTCCTTTAATGGAAGTACCATCAAAGGGAACCTCATCTACCAAGGCCGAGCCTCGAGCAGCGCCAGAACACCCGAAGTTTCGGTCACTGGCACCTCCGGAGTCTTTCGCTTTGCCAAGGGATACTCGCTCCTCTACATGGACAGCCAAGGGATGCCCGAGAGCGTTGAGAGCTACCTCTACAAGACACTGTAGGCGCTGCAAATCTCTTGAATAAATCTGCTATGTGAATTTCGTCGTCGTCATCTTCCTGGAACAAGGAAGAACAAAACCCAGGCGTTATACAAAAACCTTCGCGTGCTAGCTACCAAGGCCGTAGAGGTGTGCGTGTGTTAGAGGAGCTTTAAGCTGCCGGTTACTTCGTCCACGAGTTCGTCGGGACCTGAGAGAACAAGATACAATCAAGTTATCTGCAAGCTTTGAGATGGATCAAAACATACCGAGCACGGTCAGGACTGTTCTCGAGTCTGCGTGAAAATAGTAGCATCGTAAGCTGGAGTCGCCACTTGGGAAAAAAAAAGCATTCAAAATAAAAAACTCACTTGCGGCAATTTGCGTTCTGCCAGCATCGATGGTTATGTGGGTCGGCAACTTCAGACTCTTGGCTCTACTCTGTAAGGGAGACAACAAAAAAATCTGTAAGCTTACTCGGAAGAACTATTAGTACCTGAAGAAACAATAGCTCCTCTTCGCTCTCCGTCTTGGTGACGACTTTGACGCTTCCACACATCTCCCACCTTGCAAAGGAAAGAAAACCAGTAAGAATCCAGTAAGAACAAACAAGACAGGCAAATGCATACCTTTGAAGAGCTTTCGGAGCTCTAAAGAACAGCTTTTTGTACAAACCGAGACTAGAATGGCTGCCAAAGAAATGGAAAGGAAAGTTAACTTAGACCAATCAAATAAATCTCTCACCTGCATTGAGCGGCAATCTTCCCTTTCCCCATCTTCAAATCATTCCTCACGACCAAGACCTGGAAAGAATCCACACTGATCTTCAGCGGCATTGCCCCCAATCCAAGCGAATCATCCCGCTCACCATCTTGAAATCCTCGTGCTTGTCCGCCAGAACCTCGACTGGATGTAGATCCTTCTTGCCATCGTACTGGTGAACCGTGGATCTCTTCCCCGCCTGCTTCTTCATCCTGGGAGGCAAGAGAGCCGGCCAGCGTCGGCACAGATAGTAGCCAGCGATCAAGCAGCCCGTCCCGACAAGGACAAGCTGCAAATACCCGTGGGAGCACGCGTCCACCGCGTCCTCCATCATCGCCTTGTTAGGGCGCCCGCCATAGCCATGTAGCCCTATGAATACGTGGCAGCTATGACATGGGAAAGAAAAAACCCTCCATTTATGACATGAGTCAACCTGAAAAGCACCTAAAACGAGAGGTAAAGCGGAAAAAAACTCCAGAATCCCCTCCAATGTCATAACGGGTGTGAGCTAAAACCCCTCCATGTCATAAGGGATCCCTCCTAGCAAAAGAGAGAAAACTACTCCTCCATCTCGCCCTCCTCGCCATAGTCCTCGCCCTCTTCCTCGGCCTTGGCGTCCTGGTACTGCTGGTACTCGGACACCAGATCGTTCATGTTGTTCTCGGCCTCAGTGAACTCGAGCTCGTCCATCCCCTCGCCCGTGTACCAATGCAGGAACGCCTTGCGCCGGAACATCACTGTGAACTGGTCCCCGACCCTCTTGAACATCTCCTGGATCGACGTTGAGTTCCCGATGAAGGTGGCGGAGATCTTGAGCCCCTTGGGCGGGATGTCGCACACGCTCGACTTGACGTTGTTTGGGATCCACTCCACGAAGTAGGATGTGTTCTTGTTCTGGACGTTGAGGATCTGCTCGTCCACCTCCTTGGTGCTCATCCGCCCGCGGTACATGGCTGAGGCGGTGAGGTAGCGGCCATGCCGGGGATCCGCTGCACACATCATGTTCTTGGCATCCCACATCTGCTGCGTCAGCTCCGGCACGGTGAGCGCGCGGTACAGCTGCGAGCCGCGCGACGTGAGCGGCGCGAAGCCCACCATGAAGAAGTGGAGGCGCGGGAAGGGCACGAGGTTGACGGCGAGCTTGCGGAGGTCGGCGTTCAGCTGGCCCGGGAAGCGGAGGCAGCACGTAATGCCGCTCATGGTGGCCGAGATGAGGTGATTGAGATCACCGACTGTGAGATCATGGTCACGAGAAACAAAGCGTGAGAGAATTGTTGGTATGATACCCTTTGGATGTTTCGAAGGACTCGTAACCTCCAATGTACGTACCATGATCGACAAGAAAAGAAGGAAACTTAACCAGCTTGGAGAAAGGTGACAGACCATGCCTCCAGTCATGACTTTGAAACATAGCAGAGACCGCCCAACTTGGACAAAGGTGACGGACAATGGAAACCAAGCAGTCGACGATGACTTACAGGTTGGCGTGGTGAGCTTGAGGGTTCTGAAGCAGATGTCGTAGAGGGCCTCGTTGTCGAGGACCATGCACTCGTCCGAGTTCTCCACCAGCTGATGAACCGACAGCGTCGCGTTGTAAGGCTCCACGACCGTGTCGGACACCTTGGGCGATGGGAAGACGGAGAATGTGAGCATCATCTTGTCCGGATACTCCTCCCGGATCTTGGAGATGAGCAGCGTCCCCATGCCGGATCCCGTGCCCCCTCCCAAGGAGTGGCATATTTGAAATCCTGTGCGAAGATCGATCGATCAATGAAAACTTCCAAGAAACAAGAGTTTGGGGGGATGTTCTATATGTACTACGTACCTTGCAAGCAGTCGCAACTCTCGGCCTCCTTGCGGACAATGTCGAGCACCGAATCGATGAGCTCGGCTCCCTCGGTGTAGTGACCCTTTGCCCAGTTGTTCCCGGCGCCGGTCTGGCCAAACACGAAGTTGTCCGGGCGGAAGATCTGGCCGTAAGGCCCCGAGCGCACGCTGTCCATGGTTCCGGGCTCCAGGTCCATGAGAACCGCGCGGGGAACGTAGCGTCCGCCGGTGGCCTCGTTGTAGTAGACGTTGATCCGCTCGAGCTGGAGGTCCGAGTCGCCGCGGTAAGTTCCGGTGGGATCGATGCCGTGCTCGTCGCACGAAACCTCCCAAAACTTTGCTCCGATCTGGTTGCCGCACTGCCCGCCTTGGATGTGGCAAATCTCTCTCATGGCTGCTGCGCTGCCTGGTAGTCTGGAATCGATCGAGCGAGGGAGGAAGAGAGAAGATTCTCGTCGCCGTTGTCCTGGAGAGAAGAAAGAGCCCGAGTTTTTTTACGCGGCCGCGCGAACCATTCACACCATTTCCACGGAACAGACACAACCGGTGAGTCGTCCATGTCACCAAGAATATTCTCGCTTTACAATGAACTCGATCAAAAACTAGACAGATCTTGGATCGCTATGGTTTTTTTTTTCTTCTCCTTCTTCTTCGTTTGTCCTTGCGAAGATCAAGTGTCAGCATTCATGAACAGTGATTCAAAGATTTGTGGTCTTCAGTAGAAAAGAAAAGGAAGGTTTCACACGTTTTTTAGGGAGCTACTTTGTGGAGCATGCCAAAATGGCGTGAAGGGCGCTCTCCTGGATCTGGGGAAGGAAGAAACAAGCTCGCCCAGATCAAACTCCAGCGCCCAACACATTCTCTCGCAAGTTTGCTAGGCCTAGTGCTAGATCATAGATTTTGTTTTCCAAGTTTCTTGGGATCCAGATGGGTCGAGGACTCCAGCGGAGCCGATGGATGGGACTTTGCGTGGGAATGTGGATGCAAGCCTGCGGCGGGATCTCGTACGCCTTCTCGCTCTACTCGGCGGATTTGAAGCAAGTCATGGGCTACAACCAGGAGCTCATCGACGCGCTGGGCACCGCCAAGGATATCGGAGGGAATGTAGGCATTGTTTCTGGGCTCTTGATCGACAGGACCTCCGCGTCTTTCGTGCTCCTCGTCGGTGGCTTGATGCACTTGAGTTTCTACTCGATGGTATGGAGATTTTCTTTTGTGTTCTTACGTGTTTGTCTCACGTGTTTTTTTGTTTTTTTTTGTTTTTTTTGTTTTTTGTTTTCTCTCCTGGTTGGAACTTGGATCTTCCAATCCAGCTCTACCTTGCATCTACAAAGCAGATCTTTCCTACACACTGGCAGGTATGATTCCAAGCGAAAGTTTGGATGAATTTTTAAAGGACTTGCTTGGAAGTTCTTCTTTTGTCTGTTAGATGTGTGGGATTATCATGCTCGGCACTAACGGAGCAACATGGTTTAACACGGCTGTTCTCGTCACCTGGTAATGCTTTCTTTCTTCTTTTGATTTTGAGCATAGGGAGTGCGTTTCGCTAAAAACTTGGTGGCAGCATGAGAAACTTTCCGTCGGACAGGGGCGTGGTTGTAGGCCTTCTCAAAGGATTTATTGGCCTCAGTGGTGCCATCTTCACTCAGGTTTGAAGAGCATTCTCGTTCTCAGTCTTAAGTTTTTGTTTCGTTCTTCGTTTTTGCTAAAACGCAGGTCTATACTGCGATTTATGCACCACACACTGGCCCGTTTCTTCTATTCTGTGCGACGTTTCCACCAATGGTAGCACTCGTTTCCATGCTTTATATTCGTCCTATCGATCCTCCAAGGAACAAGGACGAAGCAGACGATCACAAGTTTACAATGCTGTACGTAAGTTTAGGCCAGTGGTAAGCTACACTTTGTCTGGAACGATTCTTAGGCTTTCTTGTTTATCCCAGATCACCGGTCTCGTATTGGCATTCTACCTTATGTGCATCATATTGCTCCAGGTAACCTTCGTCACTTTCGAGTTAGTGGACCTCTGTTTCTCTTCTTCCAGGATTTCTTTGTCGTCAGGAAAGCAGCCAGCCAGTTTTTCATGTTTATCATGCTTCTCATTCTTTTGGTTCCTGGTGCCATCTCTGTAAGCATACAGTGCTCCCCGCTTTGCTGTTTTCTAAGCTTTCTAGCCTCTGCGTTCTTCCAGCTTCATCCTGCGGATGGAAGACAGAAGATCCATCCTGATACTGATAGTCTGTTCGTCAAGACACCGAAAATGCTGAAGAACTCGATAAGAAATCCGATAACTGTAGACGTTGGACACAGGATAGCGGAGCTCCGGAATGATGGAGCTGTAAATAATGGCGGCTTGCCCGGCTCTCCTTCAAAGTCCAAACTCCGCCTTGGTAGCGATTATACCCTGACTCAAGCTGTGAGGACGGAGGACTTCTGGTACGTAATTCTCTCCTTCGTTTATCTTCTCTATTCACGTAGTGTTTTTGAGCTCGTTTCTTTCGTAGGCTTTTGTTCTTTGCAATGGGATGTGGCACTGGCAGTGGTCTCACTGCAATAAACAACTTAGCGCAGGTGTGTATGAGCTATCTTCACACCCACAAAGTTTTGCTCGCAGAACACTACTAAAGCCTCCTGATACTTTCAGATGGCCGAGTCTCTGAATTCCAAGAGCATAGGAGCATTTGTCGCGCTGGTTAGCGTGTGGAACTTCCTCGGCAGGCTAGGATCGGGGTAATGCTTTTAGATTCCTTTGTCTCCTCTGATTGTTCTGCCGCAGTTATATTTCCGAGTTCTTCATGAAACGGTCCGGAACTCCAAGGCCGGTTTTTCTTCTGATTGTTCAAGCGCTCATGGGATCTGCGCATTTGCTCTTTGCTTCCTCGGGTAAAAAGTTTCTTCTCGATTCTCATTGTGATTCTCATGGGTTATGAAAACGCAGTTCCTTCGTTGCTCTACGGAGCATCGATACTCGTCGGGCTTGCTCACGGAGCTCACTGGACTCTGATGGTGGCAACATCCTCAGAGCTCTTTGGCCTCAAGAACTTTGGGGCTCTCTACAACACACTCAGGTACAAAAAGCTTCCTTTCGTTTCCTCTTTGTAACAAAAACCAAGAGTTTCTCTCGCAGCATTTCTTCCACTATTGGATCCTACGTACTATCTGTGAAGTTGGCTGGCTATTTGTATGACCAACAAGCTGCTGCTGCCAACGTGAGGAGGTGCAAGGGACCACAGTGCTTTCGGCTCACGTTTCTTATCATGGCCTTAGTCTGCTTGATCGGTTGCGTTGCTCTTGTCCGCCTTGTGTCCCGGACGAGGCTAGTCTACCGTGATATTCAGAGGCTCAAGGCAGCTAGCCGATGATCAGAGCTTGGAATTCAGAACTGCGGCATACATTCTTCCAAATGCAAGATGTCTAAAGCCTGGCGTATGAAAACATACCTGGGTTCTAATTCATTGCTTTTTCCTACGGGGACCATGTACTGTGAAAGGCCATTGGGTCACCAGTAAGACTATTGTTTTTTACATGAAAAAATATGTATTGGAATGGAAACTATATTTTTGGGCATGGTACCAAGTAAGTATTGGGAGAATAACCAGAGTGAACAAGCTGGTCAGGATTTCTAATGAGGGTCTACTCAATTGACTTAGATGCTGTAGTTCAAGATATTGAGTTTAGTTCTTAGTTCAAAACAAATAAATGTTAAATTATATTTATAAGGTTTATATATATTACCATGCTTATATATTACAAACTATTTATTTGGGACTAATCCATTTTTATATAAGTAGGGGTCTAAACCCCAATTAATATATTTATTCTCATATCTCAAGCATTTATCATTGCAAATTGTGCTTGCAAGCCAAAGTTTTGCTTAGTGTTTGGGATTGTGGTTTCTTTTCTTCTCTAGATATGTTATACCTTTTTACAAGATTTAGGATTGTAACTATTATATATGTTCTTTCTTTCTACTATACCATGTTGTTGTTAATTGAAGTGTGTATTATTAAAGGTTGTAGTTGATGCCTTATAATTGTCATTTAGTCCTACTGTTATGTCCTTTTGAGATTAAGTTTTTGGTATTGTGAGGCATGATCATGTTAATGCTACTCCTTAGTGTTTTGCCATTTTCAACTTTGTAGGACGTAATTACATAACTTGTTATATTTTCAATATCTTGTATCTCCCATTAAGGTGGAGTGTGATTGTGATATTAATTAAAGAGTTATGGATAATGTAGTCTAGTTTTTGGAGGGTGTTTCGAGGATTGAGTTTATGGAAAGATAATGTTTACAAGTTTGAATAAATTTTTGTTGACAAGGAGTTTGATTATTTTAAAAATAGCTTTAAAGATAAGTTAAAGAATTCAGTTAATCTTTTATTTTACCATTTTATTTTTGGAGGAGGGAGTAGAGGGGACAAACAAGAATCCACCCCTGATAATAGAGTGAAAATGAATGGATATAATAGTGAAATGAGGACAAATGGCATGAATTGTCGAGTGAAAACAAACATAGCAAATCTAGATGAAATATTTATATAAACGACTAAATTTTCTATTTTACTTTAGTCCTTTAATTATACTTTTGACCACTTGAGGAAATCTCACTCACAACCTTCATAAATTCTCATCCTAATATAAGAAAAGATACTTGCTAAAACTATCAACTTTACATTTGGTCCAAGTGTTTTATGTGTCTATATCCCATTTCAAACACTCTAAAGGTACCACTGATGTACTAGCCTATTACATTAAAGCCACATGATATCTATTATTATTATCTCATTAGTAATCTAAAAGAACCATACCACATATCTATTTTTCTGAGATTGGATTGTAATTCCATTTATGACATGTAATTAATGCTTACTTCTTAGCATCCTTAAGATGTCCTAAAACTTAGAGAAACACGACTACCTCCACTATCCTTTCTTTGATCCCCGCAAGTATTTACCAACATGTTTATTGGGTCAGGGCTTGTAAGCCCATCTATCAAGTTTTCGGACTTCTTCACTATGTAACCATATATTTAGTTACAAAATAAAAAGAACATTCCTTTCCTTTCCACAATTAAGGACTTTGAGACAACATTTCAAAATACTACAATCAAACGCAAATCTTATATATACTCCCACCACCTTTAACCACTAAAGTTTTTTAGTCACATGACTAGAAAAAGGTTTTAATGAGCCACAGAAGGTATTCAAATAAGTAGTGTTACCCATATTTACATCAACTATTTGATCTATTGAAGGAGCTAGAGTCAATTTCTAAACACTTTACCAAGTCACCCCATTTGTCTATTCATGTTTACTATAACTTTTGGATTCCCCAATGTTCATATTATCACCCACTATAAGAGTATAACCTTTTTTGATCACACTAATTCTCTTAAAGTATTCGCCTTATTATCCTGTAGGTTTACTAAACCCCCTAGGGTTTGGAAGACAATTACAACTAGCTGGGAGACCGATTCATCAAAGCCACAAAAGATTGTCGCGTTTGAGCCTAGAACTCAAGTTGAGCAGCAAATCATACAGCAGCAAATGGGTGATTCCCTACTAGAAGTGGTTGTTGCCATTATTCTGCACATCACGTGGCACTATGGGATGAACTTCCATTAGATATATTTAGCTTTAGATATGTCTACCCTTCATACAATCTAAATACCCCACCACAATGAACCATGGACACTGTACTTTCAAAATGCCGGAAATGTGTGGCTTGGTTGATAAACTTTTGTCAATGCCATTGGCATACCTTTTGACTCCACTTTAGGACTTAAGGATTTATGTTTTATAATCCAACTCTAACATAATAAAGCTAAATAAATACAACAATTGAAGCAAAACATAAATAGCAAAGTAAGGACAAATAGAAATGATATTTCAAAATTTCTTTTCCTTTATGAAGGGGATAAAAAGGAATATAAAAGATGAACAGAATGAATTTAACTTCCTATATGCAATGTTAAACAAAGATAAAGTGAATCCAAATTAATGTGGGTCAAAAGTTGAGCAAAGGTAAGATACAAAGATAGGTTTTGTTATTAGTCATAAGTCCGAGTTAATAATAATCTCAAATGGTGGCCAATCATCAAATTTAAAGATAAGATATATCATTTGATGTTTGAGTGGCTTTGGTTCAAAATTATCACTTTGAGATTAGTTCAAGCATTTGACAATTGTATACAAAGTTGTAGCTAGTAATGTCTTGATGAACAGACTATCAGCGTCAAGATGAACCTTCTGTCTCCCATCTGCAGTATGAAACTGGAAGAACGCAGAGTTTAACAAACTTAGAAAACAGCAAAGGGGTGAGAATTGTACGCTTACAGAGATGACACCAGAAACCAAAAGAATGAGAAGCATGATAAACATGAAGGCTGGCTGCTTTCCTCACGGCAAAGAAATCCTGGAAGAAGAAGAGAAAGGAAGCTCTATATACTAGAAAGAGACGAAGGCTACCTGGAGCAATATGATGCACATAAGATAGAATGCAAATACGAGACTGGTGATCTCAGATAAACAAGAAAAGCATAAGAATCGATCCAGACAAAGTGTAGCTTACCACTGGCCTAAACTTACGTACAGCGTTGTAAATTTGTCATCGTCTGATTCGTCCTTGTTCCTTAGGACGAATGAAAAGCATGGAAACGAGTGCCACCCATGGTGGAAACATCGCACAGACAAGAAGGGATGGGCGTGTGTGGTGCATACACCGCAGTATAGACCTGAGTTTTAGAAAACAACGAAGAACGAAAACAGAAAGTTAAGAATGAGAGTACCTTGAGTGAAGATGGCACCACTGAGGCCAATAAATTCTTGGAGAAGGCCTACAACCACGCCTCTATCCGAAGGAAAGTTTCTCATGCTGCCACCAAGTTTTTAGAAAAACGCTCTCGCTATGATCAATCAATCTTATGGAAGATCCAACCAAGAGAAAAAAAACTTACAAAAAAAAGTGAGACAAACACGAAGAACACAAAGGAAAAGAAAAGCATCGTGTGGAAACTTAACTGCATCAAGCCACCGACGAGGAGCACGAAAGGCGCACAGTAGAAACAATGCCTACACCCCCTCCTGCTTCAAATCGCCCAAGCAGAGCGAGAAGGCGTACGAGATCCCGCCGCAAGCTTGCATCCACATTCCCAGTGACGCAAAATCGGCTGCGGTGGATCCCAAGTAACTTCGAGAAAATCCATCTAGTTCCCGAGAGACCTGCGCGTTTCGGCCCATAGAGTTGCGAAAGAGATCTCTAGGAAAACATTTGTAAAGAAAAAATAAATCTCTTCTGTTTTGGACAAGCTTCTGCCCTAGGAACTTAGCGATGGAGCTGCGGTGCGTGCTAGACAACGTCCAGGGGCTCGTGGATTCGCTCAGCGCTGTGCGATGGAAGAAACAACAGGTGATCGATAGTTTCCTCCCCTCCTTATGGCTATCTAGAAAGCTTTCTTCTTTTCACTCCACAGGACGCTATTTGCGAGGTCTCGGAGCATGGACTGGTGATCATCGTAGAAGAATGGGGATGCCTCCAAGCTCGAGTTTACTACAGGAAAGAAGTAAGCGCCCCAAAGTTCATTGTTTCTCATTGTTGCATCAATGTTCTTCTGGGTTTTACAAGCTCTTTGTTTCATACGAGTATTCGGCAGAGTCGAGGCCGAGATTTGGCGTCAGCCTTGGCTTGCTCGTTGACACCTTGAGCACATTTTCTTCGACTGGTACCACTGGGCTTGAGCTCTCGTATCCCGGATCGGACATGCAGCTTCTCCTCAAGTAAGTTAACTGGTTCGATCGAGTGAAAGGCTTTTTGATCCATTCTCAGGCTCACGGACGCTGATAATACGTGCATCTACGCTGAAATTCGAACCAAAGTCACGGACACTGTCCCGAAAGAGTACAGTGTAGACGGCGATGGTGGTCGCCGAGCAGTCTTTGCAGTGAAGGTTATCACTGATCGCACCTCCTTTTTGTTTTTGATAACTTCCTTGTTGTGTAGTCGGCGGCGTTGAAAGAAGCCATTGACGATCTCGAGTGGCCGGGCTCGAGCATTTCCATCACCATATCTCCCGATCCAGCCGGGGTGATTCTCAGAGGGGAAGGCCATCATGGAGACCTGCAGGTCGATCTCTTATCCTCACTTTCAGTTCCCCACTAAGACTTCTTTTGTACTTGTTTAAGATCGACTTCCCGTATGATGCTCACAACGAGCTCTTTGCCGCGTTCCAGTGCCAAAGCGAAGTAAGCTACAGGTATGCTTTCCAGATTTCAGTAGATCTCGCAAAGTTGCTACGATGTTGCCCAGCTACAAGTATAAGTTTCTGCGAGCAACCACAGCCAACGTTCCAAACAGCGTGACGAAAGACAACAGGGGCAGCAAGCTAACCATTGGAGCCGGGGGCCTCCTCAAAGTCCAGCATTTAATCTCCCTCCGCCAGGCGCAGCAGCACAATATGGATCCAAATCCCACACAGCAGGGCCGCGTTTCTTACGTCGAGTTCTACCTAATGCCAGACGAAGAAGCGTGAGTACAGCGCTTGATTAATAAGAAGATCATAAAGGAAAATATTTTGTTTTAAGGGTAAAGTACTACTTAGTATAGGTTTAATAACTATTGATGAACACTAAAGTGTAGGCTTAGAGTCACTTTCTCACATCGCCGTACCTGCAGGATTCCAAAAAGGCTCGTCTTGCGGAGCGCATGGATGAGCTGAGAGCATTAACTCGCACCACCAAAGACACCAAAGATAAGGGCTTTTCGCCTCTAAACACCATCCTGATTCACTCTCTCTCCGCTTACCTGGTGATGACGTGGCATCAGGCTTTTTTTTTGTTTTATCTCCAGCGCACTCCCTCTCCCGTCCGTCGCCGCTGCGCACTCCCGCCCGCGGCTATCGCCCGCCCGCGGCTCCCGCCCGCCCGCTCGCCCTCACGGCTCCTACCCGCAGTCCCACCCGCCCCCGCACGCCCAGCGTGCGCCCTAAAATTACTTCCACGTGGCCACAGCCCCAACACTTAGCCAAATTTCAATCAGCGCGCCTTAGTCCGCCGGTTTCTTTTATGATCAAGCATGGCAGCAGCACATCAATTTCCAGAGGTAAGCAATCAATTCAACTTCATATTGATTCAAGAAAATTATTTAGGATCCCCCATGGCTTGATGAGGTGCAAGAATTCCATGAAAAGGATTATTTTTGTGCAGATGATTTAGATTGGAATTTGTCTAAATCAAATGAAATTATACCTCCTATTGTGTATATATTACAGAAGGATGTGAACAAGTTTCTAGATGGTGAGAGGATAAGGGGTGATAAAGTGGATTTCTGGCGATTTTCTAACAAAAATTGTGATCCTGGAGATTTGAAACGACTCAAAAACACAAGCTTTTTATCATTAATCAGGTATATCTTTTTAACAAAATATAATTACTAACTTCTTGATACAGGTATTAGTGTGAATATGGAAAACAAGATGCTTGTGAAACATGAAAAGTTCATATCAATATTTAAAATTTATTTACCTCTATACTAGTCCTTAGCTGAATTTCTTGTTGATGCTGTATATTTTGATGCATATCTTCTTGCTTAATATTCATATATATTAGTATATAAAATATGCTAGTTTACCTCTAACGTAATTTCCAACTGAATTTCTTGTTCATGATAAACATTTTGATGAATGTTTTCCTGCTCAAATTTTTATAAGTATTTCAAAAGTTTAATTAATAAGTGAATTACCTCTGTCATAGCTTCCAAGTCAAGTGCTTCAAAATCTTGATGATGATAAAATAAATCATCTGATCCAGGTTCTAAGATTGTATGTGATTGTGATGGTTGAACCTTATAACTAGTTGTAGTCCAATCAGTTTTTTCTCCTTGTTTTAACATAATAATTTTTGCTTGATACTTGCAAAAGTTTCCTTTGGTTGCCTATGGACAATTACACTAAGTCGAAAAAGCCCAATCACTGTGTCCTTCACTTCCAACAACAAGATACTATATAATTGGATCTGAAGAAGATTGTACATAGGATTTGTGAGGATTGTCCTTATCGAATTTTATTTGAGAGTTGTTAATATTTCTTGCTTTAACAATTGCACCATCGATTAGTTTTTCATATGCATCGTTTCGGATAAAACCATGATCTTTGCAATAACTAGTAAACCAGTATCTTGCATGAACCTTAGTAGTAAGTTGATGAATTGCCCAATCCATCCTTCGATTGCGAGCATGTTTTTTTTCGGATGAGAGTATAGCTTTCATATTTGTATGGAATGCCTCAATCAAACTATTTGTCTCTTTGTTAGCATGAGGGAAATTTCGAGCATCAACAACCCATATATCTATCAAATATAAATTAAATTAAATTATAAAAATTAAAATATTAATTCACTTACCAACTTTGTCCTTCCATTCATCTTAAAAATACTTGATAAAGGCTACTTCATTTTGAAAATCCACTTCAAAATGTTCAATAAGTTGTTTAATCTCAGCTCGCATAATATTATCATCATGAAAAAATGCATGAATTGAATGATATATAATATCTCTGAGACGTTTATTTCCATCCTAATATCCCAAGATTTCATCTTACAAATAATAGGTTTGAGCCAATTCCTCCTCACATGCCAAATATATAATAAAATTTGACAATCAAATGTAGCTCTATATAGAAGAAAATAATTAAATTATTTCATATCAAATTAATTACTTTATAGCATTAATCTCTGTTTCAGCATCATCAATCATTATTGCCCGTGGTTTCTAATTTGGCATGTGTTCTAAAACTCATTTTTTAAGAGCTATCATCTAATTCTTCATATATTCTCCTTTCTCACTAAAAGTTAAAACCGATGCAATTGAAATACCATTTCCATGATAATCAAATTACCTTGTAGTGATTAGTTCCAAAAGTTGCATCAAGACTCAATAAATTATTATTTGAAAATTCCACCATCTTTTGTAGTTGCCAAGTTGTCTGAATCTCAATAGTAAAACAATCTTTACCTCGATCACCTTCCTGATAGAAAAATATTTTCTCGGGATTTGTGTTTTTCCAAATACGTACACTCTATGCGTCATTCTCATGTAATCGATAAGTTGAAAGCAAATACTTCCTATGCAGATTATTGATATCCTGCATAGTTAGAAAATCATCTCAATGAAGAGGTTCACCAGCTGACTTGTTCCTTCCCACAATCTGTATATGCTCATTATAAATCTGATTTGATGTGAAATCCTACTAAATCATATGAATCACCCAATGTCAAATATCTATTGAAAGCTTCTGAGGAAATAATGACTTTCCTCCAGTCGGATCAAGTTGACCATGATAAAGAATCCCATTCTTATCACAATGCTCTCTATGATAATACGTAATCTGCATATAATCAGGCCATTTGTAAAACTGTTTGACCAAAAAATTGCAAAGGCAACCTCACTTATTAGAACTTTGACCTGATCTACTTCTAAGTCTTGACTTTGGTGTAAATTCAGCAATCATAATAGAGGATGTTTCACGAGCATCTTGTTTTCCATATTCACACCAATACCTGTATCAAGAAGTTAATAATTATATTTTGTTAAAAAGATATACTTGATTAATGAAAAAAATCTTGTGTTTTTGGGTTGTTTCAAATCTCCAGGATCACAATTTTTGTTAGAAAATTGCCAAAAATGCACTATATCACCCCTTTTCCTCTCACCATCTAGAAACTTGTTCACATCCTTCTGTAATATATACACAATAGGAAGTATAGTTTCATTTGATTTAGACAAATTCCAATCTAAATCATCTGCACAAAAATAATCCATTTCATGGAATTCTTGCACCTTATCAAGCCATGGGGGATCCTAAATAATTTTCTTGAATCAATATGAAGTTGAATTGATTGCTTACCTCTGGAAATTGATGTGCTGCTGCCATGCTTGATCATAAAAGAAACAAAAACGTTTTTAGGTCAATTATGGGGCAACCATCTGGCGGACTAGGATTGAAATTTGGCTAAGTGTTGGGGCTGTGGCCACGTGGAAGTAATTTTAGGGCGCACACTGGGCATGTGGGGGCAGGTGGGAGTGCGGGTGGGAGCCGTGAGGGCAAGTGGGCGGGCAGGAGCCGCGGGCGGGCGATAGCCGCAGGCGGGAGTGTGCAGTGGCGACAGACGGGAGAGGGAGTGTGCTGGAGATAAAACAAAAAGAAGGCCTAATGCCACATCATCACCAGGTAAGCGAAGAGAGAGTGAATCAGGATGGTGTTTAACGGGAGGCCAAAGATAAGATCCATGGAGCACCCATTGATTATATAGTTTAATTTTTTTACATTCATTACTAATGACATATTTCTAAAACTATGTCCATTGTACAAATACATATGGAGCAAATTTAATAAGATTGTTGTTTTGCGAGCAAAACTTTGTGGCGGTGTGATAGTACTTCAGATGTAATCGTTGTCACACAGATACTCGGGCATGGTACTCGTCCTGATACTTCCAGATGGCCGAGTGTCTCAAGGGTTAGCGTGTGGAACTTCCTATGATCGGGGTATTGCTTTTCGATTCCATTTTCTCCGAATGTTCTGCCACAGTTATATATTCGAGTTCTTCATGAAACGGTCCCGAACTTCAAGGCCGGTTTTTCTTCTGATTGTTCAAGCTCTTATGGGATCTGCATGTTTGCTTTATTTATGATTATGCAGATCTATGGAACGTTCCTCAAATTCACTGTCAGTACCATGCTCTAGCAACATGGCTAGATATACCACCCACTGCTGGACTGGGAGTAACACAAGCAAACTCTCCAACTTGCGCTAACGAGATTCCATGGACAGTTCAATGAGTTTGCTTCTAAACACTTCTACTATGTGAACATTAGAAGTGTGGTTTAATCCACATGGCAGTTGATGTGGAGTGTAGCAAAAGATCTTTATAAAGTGGTAAGATGAGAATTATAATACTATATTAAATTTGTTCTAACAAATCAAGGTGAATAAGAACATTTTTATTGTGCCATGAGGACTGATTGCATGCAGCCACACACCATTCCTATTTAGGGTGAGAATATAAATACATGTGGTTGTTCTAATAAATCTCATTTTCAAGGCGAATAAGAACAATCTGCTAATGATTGTGTGAGCACTGAGAGCATGTGGCCACACACCATTTACATTGTTGGATGAGAATGAAAAGATGCAGCAAGAGTCTTTATAACGCAAGTCTAATGTTATTTTATAACTTTCATTTTTAAGGTGAACAAGAAGAATATAAAGAGTGAGCCATATGTCATTCCTATCTAAGGTCAGAATTATAAATACCAAGTTCTTAATATATTTCATTTTTAAAGTGAACAAGAATAATTTATTGATGATAGTGAGGAGTGAGAGATAGCAACAAATATGTGATTGAACATGGAAATATTATATATTTACATATGTGTAGATTTATTTTTTTATTTTGAGTTGCATGCAAAAGTATTATACACACAAACACTTTTCGATTATTATATAAGCAATCAAAATATAATTGTGTGTATAATATTTTTAATTAGGGTATAACACCTTAAACCATACAAGACAAATATCACATC